TCTCTCTCTCTCTCTCTCTCTCTCTCTCTCTCTCTCTCTCTCTCTCTCTCTCTCTCTCTCTCTCTCTCTCTCGTACTAACACACTCACCGTGGCGTGCGTCGGTGGGCGTCGGGGGGCGTCGGCGGGCAGCGTGATGGCGTCCAGGGGGCGTCGACTGCGTTGGCGGGCGCGCGGTTCGAAGGCAACGACGAATGTGCAAGTCGGCCAAAGTGAGGTGTCGGGCGTGGGGTTCGAAGACGAAGAGGAACTACAGTAGTCGGCTGAGGTGAGGCGGGGAACTGGAACAGCGTGGGGAAAAAAAAAGGGCCGGTAGGCCCGATTTGAAACATTTCAAATCGCGGTCCATCTGGGCCGTCGATCTTGGAGATCGACGGCACAGATGGGCCGTGATTTGAAATCTTTCAAATCGGGCCTACCGGCCCTTTTTTTTGTTTTGTTTTTTTTCACACACGGCCTCCTTTGGGGGGAAGAAGGCCCCCCGCGACGGGGAAAAAAAAAAAAAAAAAAACCCTCGACGATGCGCTGAGGTCGCCCGGTGGCCAACCGGGCGGAACGACCGGCCAGGCGGCCCGGCCCCCCGCCCGGGCGACGAGCCGGCCGCCGGGCAGCCCGGAGTTCAGCCTAGCTACCGGGGCCATTACCTGGCTTCGGCTAAGAACAATTGAAGAAAAGTGAAAACTCAGAAACATTCATTGTCCACTACTCAAAATTCTACCAAGTCACTAGAATATGTGCGTCAAAAAGCCTCCCAACCACGAATGAGATAGGTGAAACCTATTCAATCCATCTACGACCATCACCAGCATGGCTGTTTTCAGCACGAACCGAAGCTCTTCCAGGCCTCATGCTCCGATCACGATAGGTTACACAGTTGCACCGGCTTGCTCCAGCACTGCCCAGCATTGCTCTAGTTACGACGCCCGATGACCACTGAGACTGTCCCCGCGAACAACCCCCCAGATCTCTCTACCAGGCCTCACGCCCCCACCAAGCGAGGTCACAGAGTTGCGCCATCTGGCTCCGGCTCCGGCCAGCGTTGCTCCAACATTGGTCTTCGAGGGCCACCAAATTTTTGACCACCCTTCGCAGGATCACAGATGACTTGCCAGATAGCACCTATTCCGACAACCTCCTCAAGAGGCAAACCAAATGGAAAGAAATACTAAACTGGATGCTAGAATTCTTCGAGAGAGATTGCCCCTCCCTCCCCCTACCCCCCCCTCCTCAGCTCTACACTGCCTCCGCCGAGGCGAGTCTCCCACTCTCCCTCAGCCCCAATATAGGACCAACCCTCTACTCCCCTTTCCCCTGGAGCACGCAGTTCCCACCTAAAGCATATGCCCCCCCACCCCTTGCCCATTTCTGCCTCCGCTGGGGCTGATGTTGAGCCACACACCAGCCCCTGCCCCAGAATAGGGCACCCCCCTACTCCGCCCCTACCCTCTTTGAGACATTCACCCCCCACCTTGTGATCCCCCTGCAAGATAGAGCTCCCCCACCCCCTTCTTACCGTTCAGCCCTCCGGGAACGATCCAATCCAGCCAACTACAGTTATTGATGACACACTCACCAAATGTCCATCGCAATTTGGAAAAGCAGGGCCTATTTAAAAATATGCAATAGCCCCCGGAAACACCCTACATCTTTAAGAACAACGCACTGAAGGAAGGCGCACGGCGGCAGTAAGACTATTACAATTATTCCCCTGCCCCTTGGGCAAATCAACGTTTGGCAGCTCCCACCATGTGCACTTGTCACCAATTTAAAAGAAACAAAAAACTAATTATCGGAGAGGGTCTTCAAATTTTATAGCAATAATAGTAGAATTCCGAAGTTTTCCGAAGTTTTCGGGGTTCCAAGATTAGAAACTCATGATAGAACTTTACTTGGGACTTTTAGAAAATACAAGTGGACCCGCCGCTACGCTGCGGCAAAGGACGATGACAAAAACATGAGCTGGACTTCTTTGCAATGTACCCGTACTGGACGCTGCCCAACTTTGCAAAATGCCCCAGCAGTTGCCAAGTTTCCGTAGGCGCAACTGCAAAAGGCCAAGTGAATTTGCACACCCACCTGACAGGGGCATAACACAAACATGTCAGTCCAAAACGCCATTCCACTGTGCCCATATCTCTTAGGGACATTTTGACGTAAGTCCCAACTTATGGGGGTATTTGGTAAATAGCCCCCCACACACAAAAAAAGGAGACTCTCTCTCTCTCTCTCTCTCTCTCTCTCTCTCTCTCTCTCTCTCTCTCTCTCTCTCTCTCTCTCTCTCTCTCTCTCTCTC